CATTGTGACCACCAGGGTGCCCAGACCTTCAGTCTTAAGGAACGATCCAATAATCGTTATAATAATCATTTTAACCAAAAAAGAACATTCTTGCTTGCTGACAGTTTTGTGTGAAATAAAACAAATCAATGTTAAACCATTAAACAATTTGAATTAGGGTCCCAACCTCTAATTACAGTGAAGCTGACAATATTTGTTCTACATTTGTGTGTATTTATTTTTAAAGATAGAAAACATAAATGACTGCACACTGTCTAATTCGCAAAATCTTTAATAACAACGCTTCGGTCCTAGACCTTCATCAGGCAAGGGCAAGTGTATTTATTTTGAAAGTAAATTTGCTAGGCAGGAAGTGATCGTGCTGCTATACTGCAGCTTCTTTTCTTTTCTTTTTTTCCCCCTTTTTTAATAGATTCAAGCACCGGCCCTTGTTGACACTGTATCAGAGGTGTGTTGATTCATCTCTAAAATTCATATAAAATGTGAATACATACAACACAAAATTATTTATGCAGTGGAAAATCTTCATATTGGTTCATAACATCACATATAATGTATACATATGACAGCTGTGCCTCAGGTGGTTTTTGTCTGTTCAAAGCTCCACTGGGCTTTTCTCTCCAGCGTGTATCATGCTTAAAACACACACACACAACAACACCACGACACCACACACACAGCCACACCACCCACACACACACACAATTAAATACTGTTGATTTCTACTTTTAAGATATTTCATATATTGGTCAGTTGTTTCATTTGGAAGCTATGCTGAACAGTGTCCTCAGCCTGGATTCCTGGATTGAGTTCCCACACAGTAGGGTGGCAGTATTAACGCTCAGTCAGACATGGAGTTGTGTTCAAACTCTGCTGTGACTGGACTGCTGGGAAGTCCACATGCTCCTTTTTCCCATTCACTACTATTACTACAAACAGTGTAAAGCTAGCCAGCATGGTGACACCAGAACACGGGGTTCCTTCAGAATAAATGCGTGAATATGAAGGAGCAGGACCTTGCTGCATGGACCAGTGTAAGATGAATAGTGCAAATTTGGGAAATAAACTCACGGTCCTCTTACTACCTTTTCCCGGGGCTTTTAATCACATCTCACAATCTTCCACAGTGGATTGAGTTTGCATGGACCCAGCAAACATTTTTTTATCTGAAGGTTAGGGGAACGTTTTCTTAACATTCCTGGAACAATCATTTTGTGGCAAAAAATACACTGGTCACGATCGTTCAGCAAGACTACCTAACCCGGACAGTTCCCTGGGGGTCCCAGTGGTTGTCATCTTTGATGCTTTGTTTGCTACAAAGGTCAGTTTATTTTTAAATAGCCTACTTCCTATATTGGGAACATAATCTGAAGGTTTTTTTAAACAGCATTCTGAGAACGATCCAATAAAGTTCTTTAAAGGTTGCAAAATTATAACAAAACGGTAACCTTTAGGGAACATTCCCTGAAAGTTTACCTGTCTGCTGGAAAGTGGGTCTTTTTTTGGTCAAACTCGTGTTTTTAAGGTCAAAAATAAACTTTTACGCTGAGCAATACCAACATGACGCTCTTAATGATTATAAGATGCTGTAACCATCACATTTTGCAAGAAAAAAAACAAATATTCGTAGATTAAATAAATGACTATATATAAATGTATATATGCTTTAATTCTGAAGGTTGTTGCCGGAAGTCCTTCACGTGAATCTCTCAGGCTTGGTTACTGGGCGCACACGCACGCACACACCGAGTGGATTGTAGTGTCTGCAGCTCGAGTGAAGGAGAAAGTGGAGACATAGCGAGGATATGAACCAGTCGGTAACTTCGCCCGTCCTCCTCGTGTAAGGCGGTGGCTCCGTCCGCGGCTCGGCCGTCCGGTTGAACGTTTGTCGGTGTTACAAGTGGCGGGCGGACGGGCTCCTCGCCGTTGTGGCGGGGGAGTGTGAGTAAATGAAAGCGTTGTTTGGAGCCGTTGAACAAAGAGCTTTTCTTCCCTCTACCATTGTTACTGAGCGGAGCGCCTGTTTTCTAACTCATTTGGAGGAGCTTTCGGGCTGTTACAGTAAGTTCTGGTAACTCTGAAGTTGTTCTGTTTTTAAAGGAGGGCATGGAAACGTGGGTTTTAATGCTGTGTAGTTTCATTCATTCACATATCCAACTAGCAAATCCCTGGAACCACTGGGCTAAATGAATAGATACAAGGCTAGCTGTAAGTTTACGCAATATTGATATTGGCACATAACTAATGCGTTGGAAGGGTTTGCTGTCCATAACCTCCACTTACACTTTAGACAGAAACAATGAAACTGGGGAAAGCTTCCTTTCGTTGGCGAGTTTAAATGTAACTGGCTTATTAATCCTCTATAAGTTATAAAGCCAGCCAATTCGCTAATAAGCTATTTTTTAACAGTCAACGTCACCATATAATGTGTATGACAATTATTGAATTAGTTGTTTCTACTTTAATAATCAGAAGCTGATATAAAGCCAATGGGTTTCCACAACAACAATACAGTTACACACAAGCCTAACGGACTGCCCCTGTGTGTAGAGATTGTCACACCAGACTCCATTCAGAAATCTGGCAATTTAAGGTTGTGTCGCTTATCGCAACAAAAATACGAGTCGTAAAGTACCACTCAAAACGGAATTTGGCACAATGGGAGCCAATGATACATCGGCACGAATTAAAACTCCTTGTAAGGCTGAATGCCCTGTATGCAACTACAGAGTGCGAGAATTGTCTAGGGACAAACAGTTAAGAAATGACAAAAGTCGACATTTCATCAAGAAATGCAACTTCTGTTCAAGAAGTGCTTCTTAGGGAGTTAAACTGACATCTCTCATATGTCGAGCAAATGATAGTAACACTGTCAACCTTCGTCCAAATATTGGGCAACATTACACTGCTGTTCCAATGATTTCAGCATTCATGTGAACAGCAGCTCGGTCCGAGGTATGAGTGGCCAGCACTTGTTTAGTTTGCTGCTTGTGTTGACAGGTGAGGGGCGGCCATTGCTCCAGTCATGACCTCTGGGACTGGGAACACTGCCAGCAGCCAGCACAATGGAGAGAGCAAACCAGCTCAGGCCCTACTCAAGTCCCACATCCTCACCCATCTGATAGAAGGCTTCGTTATCCAGGAGGGGGCTGAGCCTTTCCCTGTGAGTGCTGGAGCTCTGCATGTGTCTGTAAAGTCACCAACACACAGAATATACTCAGTATATGTCAGCAACAGAAAGACTTGTGAGTCGACTGCCCATAATGGCGGGTTGCTGCCATCATGATCTAGAGATGTTCCGATACCGACCCCAATACCGGAAATTTGCGTATCAAACAATACCAAGCACAGATTCAACATATATATTATTATTTTTAACAAGCGTGTACTACTAAGCCTGTATGCTTTCTATCATTGTCCCCAGAGTCAGACTAGGGTGAGCCATTTACTGTGTACTCTGATGTTGGAGTGGATCGGACAAATGAGCAAATGAGACTGACCACTGCTGAGCGCCTGTCTGTCAACCTGCAGAGTGTTTAATGGTCGTTAGCTTTAGGATATAACCATGGCGAAACAATAATTGAATCCCTGACAATTACAAGGAATGTCCAGCCCACATCTTAACATGGACTGTAGTGGCACACAGGTGCTTCCTGTCATTCTCTACTGTCATCTATCAGAAAATAAACAACAACCATCCTACCGCCTGTCTATTTTCCATTCTCCATTCTCTGATTCACGCAATGCGTCGGAGCAGATTTGTACATTCTGTCCTTCTAATGTTCTGTGATTGATTGCAGTCCTTTGAAGCAGTTTCGGCTGCAGTAATTGAGTACATTTTTCTGTGTGCAGGTGGAACGCCCATCTTTCTCAATTGAGAGCCTAAGGAGACACACAAAGATGGACGGCCTCTCACTAAAGGGTAACGTTCTTTCACAGCATCATTATTTCTTTCTTACAGTGTGGGGAGCTGATCTTTCTCTTCTCCATGTACCAATAGGATACTGTACACATTATGTTGTCACACAGCTGCACCTTCTTCCAGTGTCAGCATATTTCACAGTGTCTGGTTGGTTCATCATATGGAATTGC